GGAGGACGTTAGGAAGAGGAGTGTACTTTAGAGTATATAGCTTGAGCCTGCGGCCCTTCACGCCATATACCCTTCGGGAGGTCGGCCGCAAGGGCGGTTGCGCCCTTGCCGCCTCGGCGTTAAATACAACAACAACAACAAATAACCTAGGCTGTGCTTGTGAAGGGCAATATGGAGCGTTGTAACGTCGCGGCAACATCATTACGGGGGAGCGAAAAGAGACATAGTAAACACGACGAATTGTTTTGCGAGCACACAGAAGTTTGAGATCACAAACCTGGAATTAGTGGAGATGGGACACAATAAACGTTCCACGCTGTCACTTGCTTCATTCCAAGTAACAGACATGACGTATTGTCTTCGGCCTTTCAGTCTAACTACCTTCAAATCTAGGATTTTATGTTGCTGTTCTCTAGGACGAACCGAGAGAGCTACTCTGTAGCCGTGATGCTGTCTTTATTTCGAAGACTCAATCCAGTCGGGAACCGACTTCTTGAGGAACGTCATGAACTTCCAGAAACCAACAGCATCTTCGACGTTGCCAGCGGGATCCACCACCCGCTCCGGGAAAGCTATGCCAGCCCCAAAGAGCCCGGGAATATAAGTGCGACCCTGAGCACTGGCCTCGACAGGCTGAGCAGAGAATCTTCCGTTAGAAGCATCATGATAAACGGACAACGGTTGCGTCTCAGCACCAGCCTTTTCAACGACGCCCAGGTCTGGTAGAGGGTTTCGTTGAAAGCCGATAGCTTGGATAAGGTGGGTGCAACTAGGAAGCTCAGACGCATACACGGCCTGCTCTTCCTCCGGTGGCGTCAAAACCTTGGTAATGAACTTCTTGACAGAGCTTTTCCCGAATAGTCGCTCCTCAAGATTGTTACGAGCCCACAGCGCAGCTTGGCCCTTGAGACCCGTGTTGTCGTACAAGATCCATCCATCCTTGTACTCGGCGTAGCGCAACTCGTTGTGGCGGGTGAACCACTTGATACGGAGGTTCGGGTGTGACGTTGTCGCAAGGTTGTACAGATTCATGAGAACCAGAACAGCTGAATGAGAGGAACCCACGACAGCCACTGTGGCATCAGAGGGTATCCTCCAACCCAAAGATGACGGTCTCAAAGCCGCATCCAGGTGCACCGTCACGAGATTCTCCGGCAATCCCCCCGTCATCAGCTGGGGCTGTGAAATTGGATTGGAACCAGTGCACAGCACAAGTTTCGACGTCTGTGCGTATTCCTTGCCATCCAGAGCAACTGTCCATTGTCTTGTTTGCTACAAAAATAGGTGAGTGAGATTCATTTAGATTTTGCGTGAGTGGGTCGCACCTTGTTCAGAATGGCGGATGTGACTTTGGCTCGGCGCTGCTCTACGTTCTGGAAATGACGAGGAATGCCTTTGGAGAGCATCAAACAGAGGTCTGCCGCATGCTTGAGCTCACAACCTTGGTCCTGCTGCAGCTGCTGAAGTGTAGTGAACGCGTTGGGTTCCTCTGTGGCCTCCAAAATCTGGCGAAAGGGCGCCACAGCCTTCGCAAAGTCGACAAATAGGCCTGCTTTTGTGTTGCTGGGAACCTGGCGATAGGAAGTCCCAACCCGACCAGCCTGAAAAAGTCGATCGACCCAAAGCTGGCGGTGCTGCGGCCGATGCTCAAGCAGGTTGCCAATGGCAGCGAGTCCACCTGGCCCGCCGCCGACGACTACCGAGTCGACAAGGCGGGCTTCGGATATCGATCTGGCTGCGATTGAGGCCATGGTCGAGTCGCAGGGTATGTTGAAGTGAAGAGAGGAAAATTGCAGGCGACGATGCCAAACTAGGTTAAATGAGAACTGTGCACGTTGTCCAATAATCGGTGTACAGTGGGTACCTAATTCCAGGGGCTACTTCACGCGAAGCACGGTGCCATTAATACAGTACCGACTGTACCTTTTTTGCCGTCAAGTGGTCCGTTATCTGGTGATTGAGACTCTGCCCGATAACTGTCTCTCAATTTGATCCTTGCAAGTAGCTGACTCATCAGCTCAGCGGAGTCTATGAATTGCTTCACAATTTGTTGATGAGCAGGTTAAAGTGTTTGAACTTGAACTGAGAGCACTATATTTAATCTCTACCTGCGGCTCATTCTCATCGTTGACTTGAAGGTGGCAATCTCTTGTACTCAAGACTCAAGGCCACCACCAGCACCAGCTCTCTTAGCCATCGCGCTAAGTTTTAGTTCCCTGTAACTCGCTTATGGCGTTCCCGTAACCCGTTGGGAATATCTGCGAAGTGGGAGCTGTCAATCTCGCAACGACCTTCATGAAGCTCCTCATCCGTGATAGTTTTATCGAATCGTACCGGGAGGACGTCCTGATTTTTCATGGGTCCACGTTGTTGAAAGCCATCATTGGATGACACAAATAGGTACCAATGGCGCTGTCGCGAGATTAACTAATTCTCGTTGTGTCCTTCTCATTGCTGTCTTCATCGCAATAGTGAGGCTGTTGTGAGTTTCACGGCTTCTCATCCCGCGCGTCTGGAATTTAAGCCAAGGAATGTTTCATGGCGGTACGTTTGGATTTATGGCCCTTTGGTCGTCAAGACGTTGCTGTGGTTGTCACGTTTTTGTCACTTTAGCCTATGCGGGTATGTTCCCAAATAGCAAGATTCGTTGCTTCAAGCAGCCGGGGTGGCAAGTTGAATTGAAGTCAAGCAATAATGAGTACATGAATTACTCAAAGGTTGCTCGAGTTCTCAAACTCTTCTCCATTTTTTACAAGAGTTACGTCTGTTGCCCCACGAGCAGATCTTTATCAACCGGGAAAACGCAGAACAGAGAGCGCATTGTCGTGCTCAGACTCATGAAGTATTCGTAGCCTCTTTCGACTACTTTCTTTGGGTCCCGTAAAAGCATGCTGAGGATGTTGTATGGGCGTCGAGGACATTCAGAGACACATGTGCGGTCATGTGTCCGTGGGCTCCCACCATCTAGAGAAGAGCTATCCTACAGCCCGATCGGAGCACGTCCCAATGATTTCACTTCGCCTATAACCATAGAAGAAATTGCGATGCTACCAACGTAGGTCTTTCAGTACTTGGCCAGTCCTCCAAATATATGTACCACCACAAGTAAATATTATTTGGTCGCTTGCTAGACGACACGCACTATTCTGTTTTCAAAACACAGACAAAGCTGCATCTTACCTTTGCACAAAATACAGCTCAAGATCCAAGCCACTTCCGCTGGCCGAGGGCTTGGTAGCCGTCTCTTGTTGCACCAGATGAGCAGTTCCTCAGGACCTCGCCCGTAGCAATTCTCCAATTGGATCTTTCCAACATACTCAGTCACCTAGATTCTGCAGTATTTTGGCGGCGTTGTAAGATGTTGCCCATTTGCTCTGGGAGATGAAAGAATCAGATGATACAAGCGAAGAGACGAATCAAAGAAAGATGACACTGTAGGGTTGTGGAAGTGTTTCACATGTGTGTAATCTGCTCAGCAATTACATACGCTATTTTGGTGATCATACCCGGTTACTGCCGCAGGTGGACCATATTGAAAGTCCGCTACATTTTCTTCCGGAGGTGGCCAGGAAAAGTCACCACGACTTGAGGCAAGTAGCGGTGAAGATTATCATGTCAACTGCAAGGCATGATTCGGGGGTTTAGCATTTGCTGAGTCGCACATACGCCGCACATATGCCAATGTCATTGAGATGCAGAAAAGTATCGTCAATTGTAAAGTGTATTGTACAGGTTGAGTCATTCATTCATCAACGCTCTGGTCTTGTCATGTCCCATGCAAACTCAGGGACTTCAACGCCGCTTGTTAATCAGTCTATCCCAAGTCTTGATCATGTCTTTATCACTCTCACTTATACACCGGCGCATGAGGTGTACTGCTGCACGGCCACCGAAGTGCTGAAGATTTTGTCAGACTTCCAGTCTGCTTTATTAAGATTGCGGAGGGAATATGTGAGACTTACCAAGCAGTGATACATGCAGCGTCCTTGGCGCAGCCATTGATACAGGCAACCTGATCAGCAGCTGCTTTCGTTTCGCAGGCGGCAATGTCTCCGCCCTTGCCAGCGTCTGGCTTGGCATCTACGGGCATGGCAGCGGCGTAGGAAGCAGCGAAGATGGCGAGAACGGCGGAGAAACGCATTTTGATATTTTGGTGGTTATAATATTGGTCTTGTCGAGGTTGAGTGAACGGAACGTTGGTTGGTTCTTCGTGAATTGTAACGTGTTTGTGATTGTAGATGTGTTTGATGGTGTTGATGATAATGGTGGATCCCAAGATGGCAATCGTGAGGTTTAAGAGGATCATTATATACACTTTCTCACGACTGTATTTGCACCCTCTTCAACGTATGATTCCATTCTGTTCTGCGAATACGATTACGTTTTGCTACATGGTTGCCGTAGAGCCCGGCACGCCTGCGCAGAGGCCATGATGCCCCGAATGACGGGGCATCCGCTGTCAATCCCGGAAACGTCAGTGGATGACGTCTGTTGATACCCTGTATTTCTCGCGATAGCCTTCCACTTTGGGTTCGCAAAAGAGGAGACTGAGAACCCTATTGTAGAAGGTCCGTAGGGTCCGCGATGAAAGGGAGCCTTGTCAACGTGGGTGGCATAATCTTGGTGGACAGGTGCCGCTGCTTCCACCAACAAGAAGTTGGGATGAAGTGACGGTTTCTTGATAAGATACAGGGTCTTCGGCGCTAACCAAGCCTCGCTTCGATCGAAGGCCAGTGACGTGCCGGCAGTTGTTACTTTAGACGAGACGTCAAATGGGCGATCGGCGACGGGGATGGGCCTCGAAGAAGTCGGGGCTTTTTGAGGGACCGCACCACCACAATGCCTCGGACCGCTTCGGCGATATCGTGAAGGACATGTGAAGTAGGCCAACCCCGCCCGGACCATTACATCAGTGCGTCTGCCCAACTGGTATTCTCCGGCTTCCTAGAAGGTTCGACCATTACTCGATCTGGTAATGCGATCGTGGTGACTGGCAGGAACTCAGCCTAGATGGGACTGCCCGAGATCCTTGCTTAGATGCGATGGGTAGTGGCGCAACGGGGTTGCATACGGCCGCATCTCGTCTCCACTTGTCCGCCTTGCTTTGTGACTCTACTGCGTGGATATCCGGGAATCTGGTAGCGTCGATACACACAACTGCCCGATCATGAATGTTCGGATGGTGAAGTCACACCGAGGGATCGCGGAGGACGCGTTATGTCATCAACATCATCAGTTGCTTCGGCAACTCAAAGGACTTCACGACCATCGTATGGGTGCCCGATCTGCGTCATTGCCGCGGTCGATGGGAAGTTCCTCCGCCCGAACCCACTCCGGCCCCGTCGGCATGACGCCCCGACGTCTCAACCACGGAGCCCCGCGACGATGCTGTTGAGCCTCGGAAGCCTCGGTGGGAACGTGAAGTCTGACTTCCCTACCTCCGATAAATGATCAGAGACTTTTCACGGCGCCGAGTGCTTGAACGGGGCTATGCCAACCAGTTGGGACTGGTGACTAAACATAAACCTAGGTTTTGGCTTACTGAGCTGAGATGCATGTTCAAGGTCTTGAAGGCTAGCATTCCCGGCTGATCCCATTTCTCTACACGCGATTCCCGACGGGAGAAATTGGAGGTAACCAATGGATGGCTGAGCATTCGCCTACGTTCATAAGCCTAAGGAAATATCCTCGGCCGATAGGGTCTAGATCGAAGACCCCGCATTACTCATGAGAACCTTGGATTCCCGCGAACATGGTGGCATGTCGATTGGGATGGAAACCGGCGTATGATGTCAGAATAGTTCTCGTCTGACCCCCATATCACACCATTATTGGTCCGGAAGGATGTGCCTTCAAAGTCAACAGCCAACAGTCTCACGGACAAAGTCGGGTGCTCTCAACAACACGTTCGTTCTCGTTCTTTCCGGCGATGCTAGGCTATTCGCGAATGTACACTAAATCATCAGATGTTGCATCGTGGCATGCAAGGCACAGATTCGCTGTTTAGACTACAATTGGAATCGGGTAGCGGCAGATAGAAATCGCTAAATTAATTAAGCATAGCAGTGCCTGCGCAAGAAGCCCCAAAAGAAGGATAACCTTAAGTCGTCGGGCGAGCATTGTGGAGCCATTGTCGGGACTTGATTGCAATGCTTGTTGCATCAATCAAGATGACGATAAGCGCGGCTTGTTCGCAACAACATAGCCTCGTCGTGATGCTCTGACCCTGATTTCAATCCATCGCTAACCAACAGTGGCAAGAGATTTCAACAAAAATCGAGCAATGGCCAGCTGCCGGCATTTCCAAGCGGAGCCCCTGGGCTCGCGAAACAGGCTGCGGTTGCATTGAGTTGACGTGGCTCCTCACAAGTCTAAGCCGAGGCCTTCCTGCCGTCGAAGCGTCTTCTCTCGGATCCAAATCCAAGATTAACCACACGTGATTATTTCGTCCAATGATCATCCTGCCGTTGCGGAGTTCCGGGGGTCGCTGATGAACTCGGAGCTCCGTCACTGCCGTATAAACCATCCTTTAAAACGCATCGGACGCACTTCGCTCGGAATGGCGCATCTGGGACATTTCTCTTGGGGCGAAGAGAGGACCGAGACTCCATCTAATGTTGCAGACTCGTTACTATAACTACCTAACTGCCAATCCGAAAATGAGACATTTCTGGTTGCTGGGATGATAGATGGAGACATGATAAGAAATTTATTGAGCCAATCCACTCCAAACTCACAAAAGAAATCCAACTTGGTTACTCGAGCGGGCATCACCGACAGCAGTTTTCTTCACGATGCCGGGTCGTGGGGGAGTCGGCCGATAATTACGGGGCTTTCGGTCTCGCATTCCGGCGCGATTGGCCCGAGCTTCGGTCGGTGTGGGGCTCTAACGCGAAAAGTCCGGCTCGCACTTCATCGGAGGCCGGCTTACGCATGCGGCGAATGAGATTCAAATACAGCGTAGTAGGCAGAGGCCTTTACGTAGAACATAATCTAGCGCATTACTCGTGTTTGTAAAGAATTTGAATTATGTAATCATTCTTTTGATGATCAGGAGATTCCAGCCATGAAGAAGCGATGTTTGCGGCAAACTCTTTGACATGCATCACTGACGGGACGCCATCTCGAGCATGGAGCCGCAAAGCAGTAGCCAGGCCGGAAAGTCGACATCTAGAGGAGCTGACGATAGCGCGTCTGCGAATTTATTCTCGTGCCACCAATGTCGATCACGAAAGCTGAAATGCGATCGTGTACGACCCCGCTGCGGCCGATGCATCAGGCTTGGAGACACTTGTGAATATCCTCAGTCCAGACGGGCAAATGTGGGCAGACGCAAAAGGGTTCATGAGTTGGAAACAAAACTTGGTCAGTCATCCCAGTTGCGATGGTTCGTCGACATGAGACGGAGGAACGAACTCCTACGCGATCCTTTTTCAGCCAATGAGAAGCCTTCGACGGCTTGTGTGCCGATGCCTAACACCTTGCAGATCAACTTGAACAGCTCGCGAGAGCTGTCGAAAAGGCTCCCTTAACCGAAGAAAGCCACGAGCAGCAAACCTTCCAACAGGAACAACCATTTCAATCGGTACATGATGAGTTCATGTTTGGCACTACTGAGCCATACACATCACAGTCATCAAGTGAAACCCCGGGCCAACACCCGTCTCAGCCAGACGACTCCTTCACGGATCTGGTGTCAGTCGGGCTATTTGAGCAACATCCACCGCCGGAACTGATCGTTTTTCTGTGAGTGGTTGTTCCAAATTTCACTGAATCGACTGACCAGTGATAGAACAAATGTCTACTTCGACAAGTGGTATTTTGCAGCACCAATGTTCCAGCGAGCTCGTTACTCAATGTCTTTACACTTGCCGCCTCACATGCGCCCACCCATGTGTCTTCAATATATCGTCATGGCCCTCGGGGCCGACATCACCAAGACGCATCGCAAGCTAGCAATTCCATTTTACCAACGAGCCAGAGCCTACATGCAAGCTGACGAAATGAGAGTACGTCCTGCCGCCCGCCTAACGTCCAATGATAAACCCGCTGAAAGCCACAGGGAGACGGACAGCACTTCACGTCGGTGGCGCATGCACAGGCATGGAGCTTGATCGCGAATTTTGAAGCTCAGCAACTCTTCTTTGCGCAGTCTTCAATGAGCCTTTGCAAAGCAATCAGAATTGCCCAAATGCTTGGCTTGCATCGTGTGGATGGGCAAAGCGTCGATGCGATACCCTTACTCTCACCGCCACGAGACTGGGTAGAAGCAGAAGAGCGACGGAGGACGTGGTGGGTAATATACTGCTCTGATAGACTGGTATGCGGCAGCACAGGCTGGCCGGCGATGACCAATGAGCATGATGTAAGTCTTTCTAAATATCCAGTCTAGCTTGCTATGCCTCTCTTAACTCATTTACTGATATTCCGAAAGATCCACACTCGCCTTCCTGCTTCCGAAAAAGCCTTCGAAGTAGGCCTAGAAGAACTCACGAGCCCTCTGACAAGCATTCTGCATCAAGAAGGGCAAAACTTTTCTTCATTTGCTGGAAGAGTTCTTGCTTCCTCGTTGTTTTATCAAGCATTCCAACAGTCATCACAGAACATTCCAGATGAAGAGGCACAGGACGTCAAAACTAGTTTGTACTGGAAGCGCCACCGCGAGATCGATAATGACCTCGCTTCTCTACTAAATTGTCTGCCAGATGATCTCAAACTACCTAACAGTATACGTTGTCAGAATGCGACCTTCGTCAACATCATCATCCACACTTCGATTATTCTTCTTCACAGAGCAGCTCTATCCACAATCGAAAGGGCCGGGACCCCGCACCACATGATTCAACAATGCCGAGCCAGGCTTGTCGCCGCGGCCGAGGAGATTCTCAATATTCTGAGGATGATGCCAGATGTCAACGACATGTTGAAGAACCCAATGCTGACCTTTTCCATGTACATGGCGTCATTGGTATTTCTTGATCAACCGACGTCGACAGAGCCAGACTACCAGCGGCAGGAGAATCTTGACTTCACACTTCGACTCATGATTCTAGCCGCAAAGACGTGGGGCAATCCAGTGACGAGGTCCATGGCCATTCAGTTAGCCGTAGACATGAGGCAAAGACGCCTTAATTCAGCAGCAGTGGAGAAGGTTAGACACCGTTCAATTTATGCTCACAGATTTGGTTCTAATCCGTTCGTAGGCTAGCGAGCTGCCCCTGGAGAGAAGCACGGTACCCATCCTTGCCAAAGGCGACAATGACTCGTCTAACTTTCTGTTCCAACTCAACAACTTTGAGAACTCCCCGGAACCTACTGCGGACACTTGAAAGTTGCAAAGGACAGTCAGAAACAGAGCTTTGCCAGAGATCAGACCAAAGCACAACTACAAGGCCAAATATACCCTGCTTATTTCATATTTCTCCGGAACTCTGTACCAAAGAAAATATTTATTGTTAATGGAATCATCATGAAAACTGAGATGCTCTGATGTAACCAATCACAGACCCTCCGTTATTTCCTGGCTGTTTTGGACATTTGTAGCACCTGAATAAAACGTAGCTGCTTCCAAAGCACCCATTTTCAAGATACTCGTGCTGTAAGTCTCTTCCAAGCGGAAACTTTCTTGTTTCTCGATCCAGTCATTTCTGATGCTTCAACGGCTTCAACTCGGTTCTGACGGCCGACTGCAGCCTGATATTGGCCAATGACAGTGTCCACTGTCTGGTAAGGGTCCCATGGTCGGTTGATGGGCTCAACAAGAATGTCTGCCATCAAGTACTTGCAGGCGTCCGCTACTATGGGCTCGATGGATACTCGCACCCGGTGATATTGCAGCTCGACATCGTTGCCCGCTTGAGATGGCTTGAAGACTTTTTGAAGCGATTCGAAGTCCATCACTTCTTCCTCACTCAATCCTTTCTCCGTTGATCCGACAAGTTCTTCCCGAGGAGGCAGTTCCTGTGCATGGAAGCCAGCCTTCCCACTGTCGGCCGACCCGAACATGATCAAGAGCCTAGAACCTTCGAATTGGGAGATTGAGAAAACCACTCCACCCGCAAGCTGACCCCCGGCCTTCGGACTTCGAAATGCAATGGTCTGTCCGTTGGCAGTCCGAAGCCAATCAGACCCGCGCGTCCTGCTAGACATGAGGGCCTTGGGTTTGTCCTTTTTGTGCTCTTCCGAGGTGATGACTTCGGTCAAGGTGTAGTCTGTGGTCGATGGACCACATCGTAGTTGTAAGATGTGTTGAGGAAAGACGCCCTCCGAGCTGATAATGCCATTGAAATTCTGCCGGACGAAGATTGTCTGCCGTTTTCCCCGTTCCTGAACTAGGTGGTCGCCTCGTTCCTGGACTTTGGCGAACTGATTTGCCCTTACTCTGGCGAACTGCTGGTCGCTGTGTGAGATGCGTTTTAGGTAGATCGCCAGGAAGCTTGAATCTTCAAAGTCTGGAGGAGCCGGGCAGTCCAACGCAGCAGCGAACAGCTCCTCGCCTCTGAGCGTCAAAGGCAGGTCAATACGCAAGCCGCGATTGGTCATGCTATATGGCGGCCGAGGCTCCCAGTCCTGGTATGGTACGATGGAGTTGGAGTACTCGAAGTTCAGGGGCGACTTGGCCAAGAGACCATGGTAAGTCTCAGTTGATGCCGAGAGATCGACCCATGCGAACAGCGATTGATCGTCGGACTGTTTCATGATCTCTTCTTGCAGGCGCAAAAACGCCTTGTCGCCCTCGCCATAGAGCATTGGCATGTTGACCCCAAAAAGACCCATCAAACAATACGCGACGTCCTCCGGCCTTGTAGTAACGCGGTGGGATGCCCAGGACATTCTCTTGGCTATACTCGCGGATTCAATCGGCTTGGTACCTTTGAGGATGTCTTCTTCAATGCCGGTGATTACCGAAAGCGGCCGACTCAGCGTCAGCTTTTCGCCGATCTTGACCCAGTCGTCGGAGAAGAAAATTAGATCATCGGGGGCTAGGAGTTCTTGCAGCGTCCACCCTCGCGTAAACCATCGACATCCAGCGAAATCGCCGTCCGTTTTCGAAGTGTCAACTGTAGACGAGACACCCGAAAGATACGCGTAGCACACTTCGGCCTTGTCATACCAGTCGAACATGGAATTGATGGCCTCAGAAAGCTCTGCGCTGGAGCTTTTGTCGATGCAGCAAGAATCAATCCAGATGTACTCAAACCTATCGGCAATTGTTTGGTAACAGCTATAGCGAATCTTCTCAAACGATTCTTTCCTCGCAGCTGTATGGTTTCTGATGTCGGCATAAACAACTTCATCAGACCCCCAAGTATGCGAAAGGATGGCATAGCGTGGGATTTTGTCGGGAGTGAAGTCGACCAACTCAATGAGTGACCCTTCGGTGTTGATTGATGAAGCTTTGATTAATCGCATCTTGCTGCTACATCGACGTGGTCTTTTGGGGAATTCCGAAGTTCCGATGGACGGAGCGAATCGAATCTAGGCTTGAATCGGGAGGACATGTTGTTCTTAAGATGGGTGATTTTTCTATCGTCATATTCATATTCAGGGCCCAACGATGATTCACCTACCATCTGGTGATGTAGGTCTCTAGCAGTCCTACGTCGAGGGGCTGTGCTGACGTGGATTGCCAGAGGATCCAGAGGTTACAATAAGGCTGGGCAATCACAGAGACGCATTCCAACCCCTGCTGCATCAATACAGAGGGAGGAAGAGGCGAAGCACACCTAAGCTATTACTAGGTACCCGAGCTTCGGACAAATAGCGACCAACCGCCTGCCCATGCATGCCAAACGATAGGGCATTTTCTGGTTGTACCAGTTCTAATCTTGGCCACACTCACCTTCAGTAGTAACCCCTTCTCGTGTCTGAGACCTGCCTGTAAGGCTGTGCCGCAAGGCATTTCGCAGTGCAATGCAAATCATTCCTTTCCAGGGGCCAATGATAGCCCGCCCGAATGACTTCTTGATGGTACGGTTCTGCCTAGAGTGATGCGCGTAAATCTTACAGTGCCCCATCCAGCTTTTGTGGGTGTGTAACAATGAGACTAATATTTCTCGCATTTTGTATTTATTCTGTTCTCGTTCCGACTGCTTTTCCGTTCATCTATACCTCGGCAATTCTTCTTTCGTTTTTGTTGAACACAGTATCCAATCACTGTTAGCAAGCCATAACTCTCCAACAAGAATTCGCTGTCACAACCTCACACGTTCGATTCCTCCTACACCGGGGTACAGCATCCTGCGGTAGCTCACGACAGGGAGTCAGTAGCGACCACGATGCAGGGTACAGGACCGGCCCCGGCCAAGGAAATGCCGACCAGCCTGATCAACACCGAGTAAGCATCTCTTTTTTCTGTATCTCAGACGACGATGGAAACCCAGGATGTGTACTGACCTTCGCTAGCGAGCCGACATCCACCCCATGGACAGGTCAAAAGCACGATGGACCGACCATCGAGGCCCTCCCCCCTCCCCCAACCGTAACGCCACTGCATGCCCTCGGTGACACTCCGCAACCCATCGATTGTCCGTTTTGTAAGAAGAGAACTCAAACCACCATCAGCAAAGAAGGCACCTCAATGCAAATGTAAGTGCTAATCTCTATTCACTGAACGTGAGATCCCACGAGAATTCGGGACTGACAAGACATATCAGGGTTGCCGGTGTCCTCTGCTGCCTCCTCTGCGTCTGCCTTACCTGCGTCCCCTGCATCGCTGGTTGGTGTGAGGACGTTCACTATGCCTGCTCCAGTTGTCACAAAAGGGTTGCAACACGGCCATATAATGGCACGATTCAGACGTTCGGTCCACAATCCTACGCTCCAATGCCGTCTCAGTACGCTTCAACAGCACCACCTGTGGCTGATAAACAAGCACAGTAGACGAGGATAGTCACGAAGGGGCTTGGGATGTTTCCTCTGATACTGGTGAACGTTTTTGGAGTAATACGGCGAACGCAAACGATACCACCGAGAAAGCAATCTGGACTTCTGCTGTTGATTTGTAGCTGTAATAGGGATAGTGCTAATAATAAATGCTGTCAGCTCTTAACCGTACTATTTTTCAGTCCTCCGCGGTGGTGTGCTCCGTTTTGCTAACCGGAGAATGCTGTCTTTCCATAGAGGTCTCCCTGTGACCACTCACATATTTCTCAGTCACGGTCCTGCGGCAGTCAGTAAGATGTGCCTGCAGGCGATAACCTGCCATAACTAACTGAAGTATAAATGAAAGAAAGAATACTGTCTGCCTTAGAGCAAAGCTGCAACCTAGTCTCCGAATTGAACCTCAATAAACATGACGAGATGCCACCAGGAGTCAGTACCCAGGCCATTTAGGCTTATAAACAATCAGAAGGATGCAGCTGGGCCATTGCCGTCCCATCGTAATCACGGACTCCTCAAATGGCAATCACCAACACAATAATATGATACCCGGGACTCAATTCTAATCCTTGTTGTAGCTAAGCCCAAAGGACCTTTGCTGCAAGGTACAAAACGCCCCGAATGTAAGCTGCGCGCAGGGGTACTCATAAGCTCGTGTGGATTATGTTGGCCAAGGCGGCCTAACGCCAATTTGGCAAACCCAATTTGCCCTGAATGCTACAGTTCTGCCTGGATTGTGGGCTCAGCTTATCGCCAAGGGGGCACAGCAAAGCTGTTTGCGGTGAGGAATACGATACATAAGGCGCATGATGAGTCGATTTCGTGTCCCCAAATACTCATTCGAATTCAAGTGTTTTGACTCATCTTCAAGTGTGTACTTATAATTGCGATCCTTGGTCAATTGGAAACAGACCTGATTCTTCGAAGCGAAACCACAATTCTACAACACGATGTCACAACCACAACCAGCTACAGTCGAGGCGCCTGCTGCGCCTGCCGCGACCGTTCAACAGCCAGCGCCGGCCCATGATAGGAGTCCAATCGTCGCCATAACAGCAAATGCCAGCCCGGTGCCAGCTACAGAGCTACCCGCAGACGTTCGCAACGTAGGGTGAGGCTCACGTTTGCGATAGATGGCCCACGACATTTACTTACACGACGTTAGGCAAACCACGACAACGCCGCCGGTAGAGCAACAGAAGGGAGCCGACCAGAAACCAGCGCCGCCGACGATCCAGGGTGTCACACCACTGCACATGCTCGGCGACAAGCCGCAACCCATTGACTGCCCGTTTTGTATGAGAAGGACGATGACCATCGTGGATACGGAAGGCACTAGCATGCAGATGTAAGTCGTTCGATCTCACGGTCCAGGAACGGACTTACTGACCATTTCTAGGCTCGTTGGCGCCCTGTGCTGCCTCCTCTGCGTCTGTCTTACGTGCGTGCCTTGTATTGCAGGTTGGTGTGAAGACACCCACTACTCTTGCGGCAACTGCCACAAAAGGGTTGCCACAAGACCTTACGATGGCCCGATTCAGGTGTTTGGGCCACACGGCCAGATGTTTCCTATGGTTCCTTCTCAGTATGAGCCTATGGCGCCGCCTGTTGCTGAGCAGCAAGGCCCTCCGGTCTACAAGTAACTGATTTACCCGGGCGTCTAGTGTGCGTCTGGGATGAGAAGCAAGTGTTTGATGAGAAGTTTTCTACTCCGTCCGTGCCAAGTACAATTAATCTATGATACCACAATCTATATTCCCGTTGTTGCTTTTTCTTGAACCTGAAAATGACCGATGAAATCAAGCATGTTACGTTTCACTCAGGTGGGAAAGACGAGATCTAGAGCGGGGGAAAGGGGCGAGAGGTTGAGGATGTCTCAACCTTTAATCAAGCATATTTCAAGGATACGCCAAACCAGTCATCGTTGACGCCAAAATTTCCAACGTAAGTCCCTTGGAAGGACAGACTTAGGCGCCGAAATTTCAGCGCTGCAACTGGCTGAGTTGCCTCCATATCCTTTCCTTCCTTCTCAACTCAAGGTTCCAACTCAGCTTCAGCCACATCACAGTTTGAGCCCTCAAGTATTCCTGCAACTTGTGAAGATAGGCCATATCGAGGACTTGCTAATTGCGCGGCGCCTCTTAGCATACAAAATTGACATGTCGAATTTCGTGCCGTACAGTCCCTTTTCATGTCTTGAGCAGTCATTCCGATAGAAGTATACCCACACAAAACGCAGCACTTTCCCAACTCAGAGAGGACATTTTGCCACAGACTTCCACTTGTCGCTATGCACAGCCACTGCGTCTGATATCATGTCTGCTCTTTTCGCGGTGGTAGCCTCCGCTCTCGGATTTGCAGCCGACAGTTCTGCTGCGACAGCGACTATTACCCTTCCCGCAGTCACGACGACCCTCAACTCCCTAGTCACAACCACTCTCACTTTGCCGGTCACGGTCAGCGGCTCCTGTACCGCGCTTCCGCCCATCACAATCCAACATACAGTTACGGCATACAATTACGGCGACAGCTACCTCCACCTGTCCTGTTGCGATTCCAACGGACCCCAGGGTCTCGTGCACCTCCTTTACACAACGCCGCTCATACTTCATCTATTACTCAGGCACCGGCGTGTCGCCTAGGAATAGAAATTCCTATGTTAGAGTGAGATTCTTCCGCGGCGATTTGGGCCCTTGTTCAGCCTCCAGGGATGCGCTGCTGCCATGGAGTGTACCTCTTATAATTCCTTTCAGTTTGCAGTAGTCATTCAATCGACGGTCTGGTCACTGGTGTAGACGTCCTCTTTGAAAAGAATACTCCCTGGAATCAACCTCGGATCAAGACCAAAGACAGGAACAGTGTTGTATGCTGACAAGCGTTTGATGAAGGATCTCAGAGTACCAGAATCCCAAGAATCGAATCTTTAACCGCCTAGAGTCCTGCCGATATCAAGAGAAGTTCTGCTGGTAGAACCTGATTTGCGTTCTTCAACATTTTATGCCCTAGAAGTCACGTATTATACCTGTTTTTGGCATGTCCTACAGAGCTTGGACGCCTCCTGGCCCACGGACAAGCATCGTCAGCTGTTCCCAACATTGGCAAGAAACACTGGGCTACTACGTAGGAAGTATAAATTGATTTGTTTGCCGATGAGAGGAAGTTTTAGACGCCAAGAACGATGGTGTAGATTGCCATCTTTGGGTATCAGATTGTCGACACTCTCACCCGATTTTCCGTCTAGAATACCATGATACGTTAGTCATGACGCCCCTTTCTAGACGTTCACATTTCAAAACCAAGTCTCTCAGCAGCCTTCGTGGTCATCCTTTCCAACTATTCGGAATGCATAGGTACTTAATACCTACCCAAAGGCAATGATGAATGCTACAGCATACAAAGGTCCACGAAACCCATGCTTTAGTTGAATTGGACCGCAAGCTTAGTGGAGTGTCAATTGAAAACCGGTGTAGACAAGCAAGCGATATTGTGGCCTGTCTCTCCTATGCTTTTGTGATGGAAAGGAGGCTTAAATATTGTCAAAAACGACTTGGGCTTTGCTTGAAATCAGGGTGACAGCCAGCCTCAGGACCAGATGCAGAGTTTTAAGTGGCCCGCCCTCGCGTAAGTTCCACTTCATGACCAAATTCTGTGGTCCATATCACCAGATGAGTTCCAGGATGGAATAAAACAAGGATCCATGCTCTCGAACGTGGTAGTGTTGTTCTGTAGACATGACTGAGGGTAGCCAAGGTACATGTCAGATTCAGTCTCCGTCCTCTTTCATCGATCAGTTTTGAGGCATGGAAGACTCGAATACCACACGGATGCATCAAAAAGCCAAGATAGAGGCAAGAATCCCGTCGTCAACTTCAACTTGCTTGCTTGCGCGGCACCTCCTCGTAGATCTGACCTGTGTTCGTAACGAAACTTCCGCACAAACAAGTAACATTCGTTCTGGTTTATTGAATCAATTTAGTGGCCATCGTGAAGACTTTATACTGCCAGTTCATCCAGCGGTCCCCGGAACCCGAGTCACTCCCGCTACATGCACTCCTGCATGACACCAGCTTAACGTTGTCGAGACCACCTCACGCCAAGCCAAAACACAAACAACAACACACCGCATCACCCAAGGGTCCAAGTTCTAGACCTTCTCCCCCTATACACGTCACCAAACAAGCCCCCAAACCCCCCATCCCACGTTGTCCCTTCCCCATATCCCGCCCCCCCGACCGCCTCCTCCCGTGGCCCTCCGAGCCCGCAGCCCCACACGTCCCCAGCCCGCCAGCACCAGACCGCCGTTTCCGCACCACGGCCCCAGAACCCGAAACTCCCTCCTCTTCCGCCTGCTCCGAATGGCCCTCACCCACCCACTCCCATCATCCATAATCGTCAGCAATGTAAACAATCTCACGTACACGCTACACACCTACAGAATCTCACGGTGTCTTAGTTTCGCAGCATACGATTCGAGAGCCTGCTCCAGCATTCGTCAACAAACACGTGCTGACAGTGGGCCCCCCCCATCTCCAACTCGCCCGGCCCCCGAAAGAAGCCCCTCTCGCCTGCATCCCGCGGTCTCGAATCATTACACAGCCAGACAGGCATCCAGTAGAATCATCTCCCGTCACCGAGAATTCACAAAGCCAATCAGATACCAGCCTGTCCAATGTCCGTTCTCCCCCTCCCGCGCCCTCCCAAGCCGGATGGTTCTCGCCGTTCCGCGCAGGTCCAGGTGTGAGTGGAAATCGCCTTAGCAGAGCCCAGATAGCCACTGCACAACACACGCTCACACACACACACACGCACAAACACATGTTCCCTTCCTTTCGCCATCCATCCCGCTACGCTACGCTGATCCGCTGCATGTCATCGACCATTCACCCCGTCCCTCCCTCCCACCATAAAACACACCGCCTAGATAACGCCGCCATTCTTTTGGCCTCCACCCACCTCCCCCGCGCGCCCGGTCTAGACACCACCGGACTCCGGGAAACGTTTCGATAGCTTCAGGTGGCTGAGCTGGACGTTAGACTCGGCAGTCGTCCTCACAAGGCTACGGCGGGTGGTGAGGGTCAAGACATGTGGTAAAATTTCCATGGGCATTCATATCATCAGAACCATGAGGCTCTTCTACGTATACCGTTTCTATCATGAAAAAAACATCCTTCATACAGAACATGCTACTCCGCGCTGTTGTGTGTCCTTCCGATGCAAAAACGTCTAAGTATCGTGAAAGGTATCGATAAATTTTGGTGCCAGAGCAGGAGAAACATCAGAGAAAGATAAACACAATGTCATTGAGACCTTGCGTCATTCCGTCATCATCGTCGTTGTTGTTCGTCATTCTATCCCCGCATGTTCATTGTAGGTATATCATTGTTTGCGTCGGTCTGATAGCGTCCGACTGAATGTGACGCACCGTTTTGGGTGCTAAACGTATATATATCGCGTGCCAAAACGAATATTGTTCACGGGCTGCGAGGGCTGGTTGGGCTGGGAGACTCATACTCAATGATCTCAATGGAATAATACGGCAATTCCCTCGCGAGTGTCTCGTGATCGCAAAAAAAGATTCCCTCCACCTCGCTATCCGGCTCGTCGAGTTCGTCGATGCGCGGGGGTGGGGGGTCTTGGAATTGCAAGATGAAGCTTCGGCGGACTGATTGATCACCCACACGGCGTCGTAGTCTCCTTGCGCTGGAGCCTACGGCGTCGGGGTCGAGAGGCATATCCTCGTGATCAGATTCGCTGCGCTCCGATATGGTCCGCTTGCCAATGCTTGACCCGTGAGTTCGGCGCCTGAGCATTCGCAATGTGCGCTGCACACGAATGAATTCTTCATGTGCCTCGTCTGCATCCAGATCCTCGGATTCTGAGTCCGAGCTGGGAAAGTTGAGGTGGTCAAATTCTCGTGCCAACCGGGAAGTCGGGTCGGGCTTCGGGGCGGCAACCGGAGCGCGGGAGCGGGAGCGGGCGGACGCTGGAGAGGAGTAGCCCGAAGGCGCCATTATTCCGTCGCGATCTTGGTCCATGGGATCGAAGTCAGACATTTCTTCGACGGTGAAATTCGCCTTCACGTGCAGCGCTGGTGCTGCGACTGATGCAGCAGCAGCGACGGCGGCGGGGGCCGGGCGGGGAATCGGGGGCGCTTCTGGGGCGTGAGGCAGCATTTCCGAGTCAGAGTCTGAAGATTCCGAATCCTCTTCGGACTCTTCATCGTCTCCTTCTTCGTCTTCTGCGTCTTCCTCATCGTCCGACTCCTCTTCGGAACTGCTGTCGACAGCCATGCTCTGGTGCATTGGCGGGCGCGAAGGTGCTCGTATTGGAGCCCGCATTGGAGCTGACATGAGAGCTGGAGGAGGAGGAGCCATCATGGGCACGTCCTCGTCTTCATCGTCTGCGTCATCGTCGCTATCGTCTTCACTTTCCTCATCGTCGCTATCATCCTCTTCATCCTCAGATTTTGCCTGAGGTGCTTGTGGAAGTTCGCTCTCATCAGAGTCGGATTCGGATTCGGATTCTTCGTCGGAATCTTCAGATGACGTGCGAGGTGATAGCTGTGCAAAGCGATTCGAAGGAGTAAAGCTGAATTGATGGCCGTTGCCTGTGGGCTGAATACCGGACGGTGGCAAATGGCGAG